AATTTACATTTTGTAATCTGTTTCTTAAGTATATTGAGCTTAGCTTGCGTATTTTGCTTTATTTGGTCAGTAATCTGCTTTGTTCTGTCTGTTATCTCTTATATTCACTTAAAATTCATCTTTTGGAGTTAATAAACTTATTGCTTGTTTATAATATAACCCAGTTTATGTAATTTCAAATGGGGGAGGGGAGCGGAAGAAGTTGTGCATATCTCCCTCCACATTGAGGGAAGGGGCAAATTTCATAAAACCTTTGGGTTTGTACCCCTTGAACAGAGTGGGCACCAGGGTGTAGGGGCAAGCCCCTAAGGCTGAATCTTTCAAGAGCGGATCTGTCTCTCTGTGCAGCTGGGTGTGGCCCTGCCTGTGTACTTGGTTGGAAGAGGCTTGTGAGCCTAACCCAACAAGGGGGACCCAGGCTGGCAGAATAGGCTGACTCAGTGGCACATCAGGTGACACCCCAAAGGGCCCGAACCCGTCACAGCGAATGTGTAAGATATCGCTCCGTGATCACATACCGAATGAGGCGCTCAGAAGGCGTACAGAGGTGACTGATGTAGTACAGGCGAGGTACGACGCAAAGTGGAGATGGGTGGGTCATGTAGTCTGCAGGCAAGACAATAGGTGGACAACCCGCATCAGTGACTGGATCCCCAGAGACCACACGCGACCGCTGGGCAGACTGAAAACACGCGGGGCTGATCCCATGACAAAACTCATTGGCCAGAAATGGGAAGAATGTGCTCGCAACAAAATGGAATGGTGAGGCGTCGACTTGCGTTCGTGGCGGGATGGACGAGGACAATCCGGACAACGGTGAGGTGACTAGTAATGAGGCATAAAAGTCAGAAATGGTTACACAAAAAATAAAGATAAACTGCTGACTAAGGCCTAACTTAACAAATTATTTCAGATTTGAGCAAAGTGTCTCACCAAATGCTTTCAGCAGTGTTACTGACCAAACTCTCAGGTCAGGAATCCTCCCCTAGAGTTCAACATTTGCTTCCTTTTTCTCTTCAGGTGCAGCGAATGTATTAGCCGGGGAGTGGGGGGTGGTTTCCCTTGGGGGTGTTTGTCCATCCTTGCTATAGTTTCAGTCCCCCTCTTGAAAAACCTTCCCAGCTGAGCACTAGGAGACAGAGTCTAAGCGGAAGGATGTTCCTGGCTGCCTTCTTCACTTGTTTGATCTTCCTTTGTTTTCCCTTCCTGTTTGATGACTCTGTTTACTGCTTAAATGCAAATTAAGCAGAACACACAGTCCTTTGTTTTGCCAACTTCTGCTTGAGCAGGGTTGTGAGGTTTTGAAAATGGGTTAATAATATCATACAGGTGTGACATTCCCCTCTGGTGTTATCTGGACCGGTGATCTGCTAGGTCACTCCAATGGTTGATTCTGGGAGCCAGCCTTACCCTGCTCTGCTGTGAGAATCCCCACTCCTGGGCTGTTCACGCTTAGCCTCTGGCATGTAAGCTGCTCCTTAGATTGTGCAACCGAATGACACTAGCCAATATCTCCAGTCCCAGACACAACCCTAGGAACCTCCGTCTTGCAGTGTCCAGTTATGCCCACTGGACGCTGCAAGCTTATATGAGTTTGCCAATTTAACAAATAAATTGATATGTACCAGGCTTCTTATCCCAAGGGGAGCCTCTGACACGCTTCAAACCAAATGCACTGCTTTAGGTAGAATAAACAAACAGATTTATTAACAACAAAGATAAATTAAGTGATTATAAGTCAAAACATAACAAGTCAGATTTGGTCAAATGAAATAAAAGCAAAACACATTCTAAGCTGTTCTTAACACTTTCAATGTCCTTACAAACTTAGATGCTTCTCACCACAGGTTGGCTGGTTGCTCTTCAGCCAGGCTCTCCCTTTTGATCAGCGCTTCAGTCGCTTGGTGTGGTGTCTGTAGATGTAGGTGGAAGAGAGAGCGAGCATGGCAAACGTCTCTCCCTTTTATCATGTTCTTTCTTCACTTTCGGTTCCCCCCCACCCTTCAGAGTCAGGTGAGCATTACCTCATCGCAGTCCCAAACTGACCAAAGGAAGCGGGGTGATTCCCTGAAGAATCTAACAGATTCTTTTGTTGCTGCCTAGGCAGTGTCTTTTGTTCCTGTGAGGCTGGGCTGGGTTTGTCTCACACATGCCCTGATGAGGTGTGAACTGCCCCTCTGCTCTTGGAGAGTTTTTGCCTGGGCTTATTTTAAGCCATGAGGATACATTTTCAGCCTCACAACTACATACATGAAATTATAACCTATAACATTACTGTAACAACAATGCTCAGTGCATCATGAGCCTTCCGAAGACACCCGACATGACAAACTTTGCATTGGATACCACACAATCATTTTACAAGGATGAACATGGGGGTGCTGGGCGTTCCCCCAAGATACAGACATCACAACAGGGGAATCTTATAATTTCATATACAATGTTGCCACACATATTTTACCAGGACGATGCTGACTAGCAAATCATGAGTTTTCAAATTGTTCAAGACGTGTGAAAGTGAAATGAATTATATTAAAGAAATAGAATGAATTAAAGAATGCTGTATGTACCTTTAAGTAGAAATGAGAAATGCTGCAAGCCAGGGGGGCAGGAAAGCAGACATTAACTGCTTAACTTGCCACTTAAGGGCAATTGGTGAAGCATTAGTCTTAGATCGGTAAGAGTTAACAAGGAAGCAGGATATGCATATTGTGCTCCATGCATATTTTACAATTTTGCTCTCTCTGTCCTTTTGTTTAGTTTGCACCCTTTTATCTGTATAAATAAGAGGCTCACATTATCTGATTGTATTAGCAGAGCGCTGTGCTAATAAACAGAGTGGTCTTGACAAAATTGTGAGTCCTGATTCTAACTTTGACAATTTGGACGTTCCACCGAGATGGCAACCGTCTTCACTGGGGCTGTGTGATTCCTGACCGTTTTTGTAGGACGACCGTGGTAGCCGGCACCTGGGCATTTGGCCCGAGCGGTCCTCCTCCTGAACGGAAGGGTGCATGACCACAGTGACGTCTACGCCATCGAACCTGTTGGTTCCCACTCTGTTCTGGTAGGGATCCCAGGATCTGACATCAGGAATCTGGTCAGGTAATTATTTCTGTGTTTTGTCCGGACTGAGGACTGTCCTGTCTCTGTGTCTATCTGTCCTCCTGTGGAGTGTTTGAGTCTGGGTGCCATCTCCGTCCGGGGATCGGCCGACCAAGGGGTTCCTGTCCCCGCGGTCTGAGTGAGTGAAATCTGCACAATTGCAGCCGCACCGCACCTTGGGTAAAACCCTTGGTGTGAAAGCAAGGGCTATTGAGGCAGTAGCCTGTGGGCTCCTTTTGTGTGTTGCACCGGGCATCGCTCTGACGAACCCGAATTTCCTTCTTGTGTGATTGGTGTGTGTGTAAAGTCCTCCTGTATGGATAATCAGACGTCTAAGTCGGGACAGTTCCTTAAAGGAACG